TCGCGGAGGAAGTAAACTCCCCCTATATATGTTTTGTTTTCGATATCTTGAATTTTCTCTATGTACAAAACTTCAATAGCCAAGCAAGAGAGCAAGTACTGAATATTAAAGAATGACTTGTCCCTTAGTTTCAGAAAGAAGCCATATCTTCCCCACAACCAATGTCACCCCAACGACAGCAATTAACACGATATGTATGCACAAATGTTTAAACGAGCATATGAATTGTATTTCCTCCAATTGCTAATTCTTTCAGTATTATTAGAAGTTTATACAACATGATTACCTGATAAAGAGCCTGTCATTGCAAAAATACATCAAAAGTGAAGATGCTATGCACTATAAAGTGTTCAGAAATAACATATTTTTCGTCTCAAAATATTCTTACCATATATATAAATACGAGTTATTACTCGCACTTTTCATACAAATTTGTTGTACTTGTATTATAACATTTTATAAGCACCAATACTTGCTTTAAATTCTTTTTCGCATTTTCAGACAAGCTTCTTTACTTGCGTCCATATTTGGGCGTAGTATACATACGGACCAGATTTAGCATATTCGATTACCATATTTATTATCAAGTCTAGAAGTGGTTGAATTAATGAGGAGCTTGTAATTTCTACCAGCCTTGGATCTTTTGTAGAAAACCTCCGTCAGCGCTAACATGGTGAGCGCAATCTGAAGTGCTTTAAACGTGACGGTGCGTTTTTCTCAAATCTCATATTTTTGCATTAGTGGCGAGGGCTTTCTGCAAAGGTCCCCAGGTTATGAGTAATACTTTACTATTAATTTTGATTACGCGAGACTGACCACGCGTTAGTGTATCGTACGCGTATAATGAAAGTATGCTGTAACAAGAGTAAACAGTCTTGGTACACACTAACACAAATATACTTTTGGGATCATAATTATGAAGATCTTCCTCTCCAAAAAACCTTGATCTTGATGTGATCCATTATTATAACCGCATCCACTATGTTTTATTTCATATGACCCTTACGGTGGAAGGCCTTCATATGACCCCACTTCTGCAACGACTTAAGCTGCAGCATGACTTTTGAATCACGTATGATATAACAGACAAACTCCATTACGGCAAGGAATAGAAACGACATTGTTTGCTCTTTCCAGTTGTGGAATCATTTACACATCATTGCTTATAAAGTTTGCCTGTATAGACATTCAGAAAAGTTGCAAAAATTATATCGTTTGCTATCGATCAGTCGTGCATTTTCAACTATTTCATTAAATTAGGCTTTGTATAATTTATATTTCGACCATCCATCTATTTCGTAGACGCACGTCTCGTGGCTGGCACGCGCCCAGATATCCCACTGTGTTCCATTTTTGCCCCCCTACCGCGAGTCTGTATATCGACAGTTGCTTTGCGAGCGAGCAGTGTTAGACTGAATTAAGAAGATTTTGAATAAAAAATTGTATTTTAAATTGTGCCACTTCGGACAATATTCAGCCTTTTAATTCTAAGCCGATTTTATTGGGAACAAAGTGAAACCATGGATCACTTGTTGGGTTGGTGTTTCCCTAAATCCAATGGACTTATTGATGTTCGAAAATTTCATTATATAAATGAAAGAGAATTATGTCATCAGATGGCTGTTACTTTTGTCAGATTCTTTCTGATTGCACTTGGGCCCGATATTTCAAAAAATTGCTTCTTATTGATACGATACATTGTCTTACGTTATAATCAGTATGCCCGCATACTTGAAACGCCCCACGCATAGGGAACAAATAACGGGATGACTAATCTTAAATCCGACATGGACTGGTAACCGACGAGACGCCGTGGTTTGTCTTATGATTAGGCCGTCTTGTCGGCTTTACTCTCCCCTTGGATAAATATGTAAAACCATATTACCTTGAGTTCATAGAAAAAAAAACTTTGGACAGAAACGTTTGGGTGCTTTAAAAGTAAACAGCTTTCAGCGAAACTTGGGATAGTTAATCGGCCAACCATTTATATGATTGATTACCGATCACATTTATTTAGATCAGTGGTTCCCAAAGCTGATTGATTGACCAGGGGCCAAAATTAAAAACGGAAAGACATTCGCGGGTTGGGAGAGGGGCTCGCCCAGAAGGGGCTGGTACGTATTCTCAAGATGCCATTAAAATCAATTGTGCGAATATACACCTGCTCGAACTGTGATAATGACGTAACAATTAGAGATATTTATAACGCAAAAATCTAAAAACACTAATTTTTAAACTATATCACTCAATATTGCATGATTGCTATTTCACTCAAGTTCGGCGGGCCATATTTAGTTGTTACCCGGGCCGTAATTGACCCGCGGGCCGCGATTCAGACCATTAGCCGCCATTAAACTCGGATTCGCCTCCAACTAACCTTCAGTGAGACTCTCGTTTCAAATTTCCTAATTTCCTCAAATAATCGATTTTTAAAATAAATTCTAATTATTATTTCAAATAATATTGACGCAGCCTAATTAGCTTTATCGATTTATCGGCCCACGTACAGAATATGCAAACAAAATAATTGGAATACAAACGTACAATTTCCACAAAGTCTACATCCTATTTCGAGAAATAAAATGAGTTGGTGGTATGACTATACGTAAACGATTACTATAATACTATAATTAAACGATTTGACTACATGGAGAAAAACGAAAAATTTGTAATTCGAAATTGAATATTGCTTGTTTGGCCTCGGCTAAACAAAACTTTACAGAAATACAGATACTCTTCAATAATACAGAACAGCGTTTCTCAAAGTTTTTTTTTGCTATGAAACACCTTTTCATCTCGCCTCGCGGAACACCAATAAATTGGAAGGTAAAATTGTTGGAAGGTTTCAATAAAATTCAGCCTATGGTAAAATTAGAAATTTTGTTGTAAACTTTAGATTTCAAAAATTAGACCGGCGGTCAACGATATTGAACGGTTAATGATAATGCATATGCTTTCCAGTCTAGCACCAGCAGGCATGTCCGCTTGTTTAGATAGCAAGGGTTGTTTGTCGCCAGTTAGGAGACAAATTTACGACCCCGAGTCACCGAAGTATGGGCGAGATCTCCATGGCGACCAATTGAGTCGCAATTTTGATCCTTGTTCGGCGTAACACAGTTTAAGAAACGCTGATATAGAATAGTCTTCTTACTTTAGCCTAAAAGGGCATTACTTTTTCAATTATTTTTCCTATTAATTACTTTTTCGATTGGCATTGGTAACCCAACTCCATTTTGCTTTCTATTGATGTTAACAGACGTATATTAGGCCAGATTTTGAACAAAAGTGGTTTTCCGATATTAGAAATAATTCGTGACCGCATGAAACTCGCTCAACTTTCTAAGCAAATCGGCTGGCCATAATCATATATCAAAATCGCGAATTAGAGACTCGGGTTCGATCAACCCTGAGCAATTTAATCCCGTAGATGGGTATTAATCGTAAAGAGGGCACGGAGGTATTTTATTCTTGAAAAAGAGGGACACATTTCCAAAAATTGGTACTCCTGAGTATGCGTACCAAGATGGCGGACACCGGAACGGTCATAATTTTCCTTATTTTAGTTCTATTACGAGCGCAGGGACTAGCCAAGTGACTCCTGTAGTATTTGTACCCAAATTTATGACCTAACCCTAACCTGTTACACATACTACGTTCCGATGCCCGCCATCTTGGTTCACATACTTCAGCAATACGCAAATATCGAAGACTCTGTGTGTTGAACTTAGTCAACTTTGTTTTCAAATATCGATTTGCTGTACCAAGCAAACTAAATTCTGTGCGCAATTGCTACTAACAGATGTTTATTTGGCTGGATTGTCTATTGACTATTTCTTTGATTGAATCGAACAACAGTAAATTGATTGGTTTTCCAATATTATAAATCGTTAGTGACCCAGAGAAATTTGCGATTACGCCAACATATCAGGTAACTCTTTGGCCAGGGCTGTGGATTCTTTCGATTTGGACCTTCAGATTTTCAATGGGAATGAAAAAAAGGCCAAATTTGCTACAATACCTCAAAAGTCTTAAGTTCGTTGAACGTTCTTAACACCTGTTTAAATTCGGCATTATATCTGGGTCTGACATACTTAAAGACTATTCCAATCCCTAATGTTGTTAGTGAGTTCGTCGGCTATCCGCGGAAAAAGCCCAAAAAAAAAGTATCACAAACTATCTAGTTTTCGTCGGGTTCGCATTGGTATATAATGCTTGAAGTTAACTCGAGAACACGGAGAACAGAATTTATCCCGAAAACACTGTTTACAATCGCATGAAAACGAACTTACGGATCTTTCCATAATGTGCTAACTTTGTTTTTAAACTTATCAAGAGAAATCGATTCGCAATATATTGATTTATATATAGCGTCTGTCATTGTGTGCCATTTCGCAGAGGAATTCACTGTAGAAATGGTTCCGGGGAATCCTCTCTTTCATAAGTGCAAATCACACTCTGACTGATGCGTTACAGCAATACTTTAAAAAATCAGTAATACATTTGTGTTTAACTGAGTAGTATGGTAATGTTTATTCTTGCCACAGCATCCTTGCATTATACGCATACGGATCTACTAACATAAATGTATTGAGGAAGGATTGGGAGTTAGTCTCGCGTAATCTATACTGATAGTAATTATAAATACACCAACACGTGTAAAATTTACTCCCTATAAAATAGAATCTAAAATTTCAAAAATTTCAATTTCTATATTTGACCCGGATAATCTCTTATCGACCTCCGCCTATTTCGAAACCTCTCTTTCTCTCTCACTATGCGGTACTCCCGTAGTGTGTGTACCAGGTTGGGTTAAGCCATAATTTTATTCCGATTTTCCTTATTTCAGTTCTATTACGAGTTCGGAGACCATCTGTGTTTGCCAGTATACCCCCTGCCCATAGGTTTCAGTCCCTTTACACAACTTGATGTAAATTAGGCGAACAAAATTAGTTATCTCCCCCTTTCTCAACCTTTTTTAAATCACAAAGCAATGTTTTTTGTTTGTTTTCAATAATTTTTATTTTGAAGGAGAGAAGAGACAGCACGGGACAAAAAGTATGAAAAAGGGTAGTGACAATAACAAATAATACAAAATATAAAAAAATAATAATTAAACAAAAAGTTTAGTTTTTGTGTAGTCGGTTTCAGGAAAATCATTTTTTAAATTATTGGGGGTATTAGGTACATTCGCTCAAAGCAAGGTCACAGGATTTTACTTAACGCGAAAGAATCTCTATAATAGAGCAGGAGCTGAGACAAACTTCATCAAGTTGAAATAATTTAAGTCAGTACGGCCAAGAAATTTCACAAAAAAATATGGCATAATCGAACTTTTTTCAGTCAAGCTTCAAAAAATGGCAGTGTTTTTTACAAATATGATGATATAATAAAATGATGACGTAATAAAATTATGATGTAACAAAACTATCAATTTTAGTAAAAAAACGTGCAACTTGGCAGTAGGGTTTTTATCTTCGTATCATCGAATAAACATGGCATCATGATAATTCAAAGATTTATTGGCAAATAGTGGACCTTAGTAGGTGAAGGCGAGCTTTATACAAATAAATTAAATATTAAAAAAAATCGAATCAATTGTAAGTTTTCGAATTTTTTGACAAATTTTCAATAAGTTCTATTTAACAAATTGCCTAAGATAGAGCAATAACATTGAATTTTTAATAGGAAAAAACGAAAAAAATAGAAAATTATCTCATAGAAAAATACTGTTCAGAACTATGGTGAAACATTTGGCCACCAGTGGCAGTACACAGCATGTTTGGGTGGGGAGGGATTTCAAATTGCTTGGGTTTTTGGGGGCTGCTAAATGGGGAATCCCCGGTGTCACTGGGAGTTGGAGGAGGAACAAAAGTAAAATGTTGATTTCCCATGGAATCAGCTGACATGAGGGGACTTCCACAGTGGGGGGAAGTGGCCGAAAAAGGTGGGGTGGGGGGAGTATGAGAAATAGGGGCAAGTCCTTGAAGTGTCATCGGTGGAAGAGGGCGCACTTGAGGTTGTTGATATTCAACCCCCACATTATTGTTGCTATTGTTATTATTGGTATTCCTGCAATCGAAATCATAAGTTGGTAGATTGTGGGAGTTGACATCAAATTGTGACGTCATAAAAGGTTGTTCGAGGGCCAAGTCGTCAAAACATTCTGCGATTTCGTTTGATTCGTTTTCTTGCTCATACATTGGCATTTGTTGATGGTATTGATAGGCTTCTGGAGGGTATTGTGACATCATCGGTTGTGTCGCTTCTTGCATCATCGGTGACGTCATAAATTGTCCTCCAGTTGTTGATGACACAATGTTTTCGTCACCATTCATAAAATTGTTTTGCTGCATCACCATTGCTCGGTCGGTGTTTCCGTTCTTTAGCATTTCACTGAGACACCAAATGTAATTGTAAGCGAATCGCAGAGTTTCGATTTTCGTCAGTTTTGTCTCGTCGGGGTAAGTTGGGAGAACTTTTCTGTAAAGAGAATAGAATTTTTAGTTTAAAATTGAATAAATTGGTGCCGGTTACTATATTAGTAAGGGCCTACTTTAGCACTGCCTAATCAATTTATTACACCTCGAGTAATGCGGGTAATATAACTAGCCAATGAGTTTCAATATAGGGAATGAACGCCCGCTTATCCTTCATCGCAATGCATTCGCCATTATTTGCTCGAATCCAAAATGGCGACCGAAGCATTAGCCATATTGATTTATGAATCTCGCTTTAAGAGAAATTTGAAGCGCAGTGTTTACGAAATAATGTGTTGGTAGAAAAACGTATTTGAGGAATAATGACCCATTCCATATGCCCAATCTAGTCATTTGCGTATTTGTCTGCCTATTTTAATGTACAGGAACGGGAGAAGTATTTTTGATGTAAGAAGTGCACCTCACGAAAATATCGATATCCCATAAAATGCTCAAATATAGCGCTAACAAACCTTAGACGTTCCAGGGCGTCGTTCAGTCCGTGCATTCGGTTCCTTTCCCGATCATTAGCTTTTGATCGTCTCTGCTTTTTCAAATGATGAACAGTCTCCGGGCTTCGATCGCGTTTGCGCTTCTTTTTTGATTTCTCAGATTTTCTAGTTTCTTCGTTTTTATTCAACGATTTTTCCTGAAATAGTGAAGTTGGACGTTTATACCAAAATAGAGAATAGACATTCAAACATTCTCGTATATTTTTTCGCTAAAAGCAAACCTCTGCACAAAAGAAAGGAGCCACTATATACAGATATTGCTTTATATGAATACATATGTAAATATGTTACATAAAGGCAAATACTCCACTGCGCTTACGAATCACTTGTATTTACTATAAACTACGTTGCCTGGTATTTTATCAAAATCACATGTCGAGGCAAAAGCCGTTAAGTCAAAACATGGACGTTTATATCATTGAAAATGAAACATTGCGACGTTTTGAATAGTATTAGTTGAAATTATCAGTCGGACAAATGTTTGAAAGTTATTTAAGATATTCACCTCATCGTCTATCGACGACGTTATCGCCCTCGTGAGTGATTGAAAACTCTGCGGAATTCCGAGATCCCAATTTCCGGCAGTTGTGGTTGAAGATACCGATGTAGTTGTTATTTGCTTGTACATTTCGTCATTAGCTGATGACGTAGTATCCAACATAGTTTTGACTTACGATAAATTTATAATAAACGTAAAATTCTGAAAATATGAAAAAAAATACCAGTTTAGTATATTATTCTAAAAAATTGAACAACTGATTCTCAAGATTGTTACATCACGGATACAAACTAAGGTGCGTATTGTGAAATCACTATGATATTGTTGTATCACAAACACTGACAACAATCGATAATATTGTGATTTATGATTACGGAATGAATATGACATCATAATCTGAGATATTATCATGCGGCTGATTGCCCAATTTTATTTAATCTAACTAAAATTCGAATACTAAGCTATATTTATCATTGGCTATTACTTGTGTGCGAGACTCGATCGATGCTCACGCAATATAGAGTCAGAAATAGGGATGGATATATAATCGCTATTTAAATGGCCTCCTTTGTAGAGGACTATTGGGCTTCCATATAGACAATAGGTTACAATTGGGGATGGATATATATATGACCTAAATCGACATTTGAATGCTCCGCTATATGCACCCAATGAATAGACAAATCAAAGCCTCCTTAGTAGGACGCTTCTAGCCTGTCATCAGGACTAACATTTTCGTCTTTTTCGAAACTCATTTTCTGGAAATTCCGACTTTTTTGTTCCCTATCAATCGAATGATTCGGATTCCTATTCCTAAACATCGACTTAATTCCAATTCCCTTGTTACTCTTCTCCCCAGTTTACCATCTGCCGCTCTGGGAGCGATCGTGCCCCAATGAGCGAAAACGCGTCCCTGCTTCACCGCGAATCGAATTATAACTTGAATCGGATTTTGGGCTGAAATGTTAATCATATGTCTTAAAATAGAACTCCATAACTCGTTTACAATATTGAAAATTAAAATTATATCTGAGGTAGCCGCTATTTACCATTACGATACTTCCTGATCAACTAACATACAAACGCAAATAGAAAAGCAGTTGTGAGAAACACGCCACTTCAAACATATTTCGCCGGCGGAATTGAAATCGTATTTTGCAACATATTGTCGAAATATTTTTTTCAATCTTCGCCTTTCTTTTTGTATATATCATGTAACATTTAGCTGAAATCGAATACAGCATAGTTGCCTAAATGACAGCCCAACAGCCTTCGACGCAAGAGAATATCAAAATGGCGACTGGTATAATATATACATCCATATGTATAACTAATTTAACAATCAAATCACTCCCATATAATTACTGATTTTTTATTCGCTATGAGAAATAAATTTTTAACACATATTGGAATATCGTGAAAATTTCTAATTTTTGCTATTGTACACTGTCTCGCGTTATTAGTATTCCGAAGGAGCTAAGCTGGGACTAATATTATTCAAAAATTAAGATTTTGCGCATTTACACATCGATTTTATTTCCCTAATTTCGCTCATAATTTTGAAGCTCATAAATACCTGACGAAAATAGCTCTCTGATTCGCATATAATTTCTCAAAATAAGCATCTACTCACGAGAGAGGCACGCGACCCAGTGCACGGCGAGAGAGTAATGATACTGGAGAGAGAAATTCGCTGGTATTTATGGCGCGTGCCTGGGAACATTATGACAAAACAATACCGCATAAGAAAAAAGAGTGAGAGATTAAAAGAAACTAAAGAAATCCCGCGTGGAAAGAGTGAGATAAGAGAAGATAAGAAAAAAATGGAATTTAAATGTCCCTAAGGAGAGAGAAAACTCATCTCGATATAATAATTAATTGAAAAAGGAGAGAGCGAGAGAAAAAGGAAAGAAGGACTTCGGTTGCTGCAAATGCTCTCAACGCGATACCAGACGTCTGCGAATAATATGCTGTTTTTCCGCTGAAAACCAAGACTGAATGCACCAGACCACAATTTGAGAATTCCATGCGAGAAATCTTGGCCTTCCCTTTTCCTTACTTGATTTGACTCTATACTTTCCAATTAGCTAATTCGAAAGATGTAAGTCCTGGGTACCTAACAACCCGTCGCATGTCTGCGTAGTTTAGATTCAACGAAGGTGTTATATCAAATGGAGAGAATGTGATGAAATTCTCCTTTCCTAGTGAAATTGTCATTTTTTGCACTGGGGACGTTCTCCACGATTTCTATTAAAATGCTACTAAATTTGATTTGATTTTTATAAAAATTTTTCTTAACCTGCTTGGAAAATAAACAAACAAACAGTCAAATCCACAGGTACCAATGGCGAGACGGAAACAGTTTGGCTTCCGACGTCTGTATCTTCTACTCCTCATCTTGCAGACGACGAAAAATTCCAAAACGTCGTCTGCAACAAGTCAGTCTATGACATCACTATAAGTTTTTGATCCAATATAACCATGTGTCATTTTACAAATTAATTTTGATTCACCAGTTTATTATGATTCAATACACAATATTGAGAAAAGGGTCGGTATTTAGCGGGCCGTAATGGGCCCGCGCGCCGCATTTCGCTCTTTTGATGGCAGGCTATGCGTTCACAAAGTTCCGAGATCAGCGCGAACCGAATTATAAGACTTTGCTCAAAGTGAGACTTATCTGCGAGCAAGGCCATGCCCACTCTCTCAAAAAAAGAAAAAACTCATCATCTCTGAGCAAAATAACGGGCGACTACTGAAATTCCAAAAGATTCTTAAACTATTGAATTATGGTGGTGCATTACGTGTTTTTACTTGAAAGTAAAGGGAACTCGTCTCTGGGCAAAAGATGCGGCAGAACTCAGAAATATAAAAGACCGTTTGAAACTATATAGTTTTACGTTGGTGTATTCGGTTTCAATTTCATTCCATTAAATTCGAAAATTAATAAAATTAATTCTAGAAAGATGTCCGTTATCATTTATTGTTGTGTTTCGGTAGTTGAAACAGTGTATTGCCTTCAAATACTTCTAAAACGACTATAATAGAATAACATACATTACTTACGTCACAATTATCGGCGCACTTTTGTTTCAGAAAGGAAATGCATCTAGTTTCATCAAACAAAGTTTAGGAAACACGTGCGATACCGATATTATGAGGTCACAATCTAAACATTTGATTGTTATTGTTTGCATAATAATACAATAGTTGAACACGCAATATCGAATCATAATCGCTCTCAACTTATCCTGAATAAATAATCATTATTTGTAAAATTAAATCTTTCGTGTTTGATGGTCGCGCGCGGGTGTCTCCTGCGTTCAAGTTGAATAATAACCAAGAAACATTGCTTTTAAAATAACACTTATGCCTGATAGCGACGGGTTTTGCTTTTATTATTTGAACGAAAACCGTTAGCGCAAACCATCAACCGGAATGTCATAACTCGGGCAGCGAAGTATAGTTAGTGGCTATTAGGCTTATTCATGGTAATACATGCACAAATGGTAAGAGGCGGTCGATATGGTTTAGCCAATGTATCGAATCTCCTATAATAGTGGTCCCCGAACCGCAGCCCGAGTAAAGATTCAAGATGGCCCGCCGAACATAAGGAAAATAGTTTTATATAGAATAAAAACACTTGTTGTCCATGTACATGCCATTGAATCCGAATCCCTTTTTACGAGCATTGTCATTTTGAAATTATGAAACACCCCCCCTCCCCCCCCCCCCAAATTTAAAAATTCTCATTGCATCATCCTCGAGGAGAAACATATGAATCGTTAAATGGGACTGCAAAATTGGCAATTTCAAAACTATTGTAAATTCAAAAATAATAATTCTCAACACTTTGCCTTCGTGAGAGAAATTCGAGCCGAAATATTGGATTTTAGAATCAGTTGTTTACAACCGTATAGCCTGTGTGTAATTATGAGCGCATAATAGTGCATTATGAACAAACAATGTTAAATTTTAAACCGTTACATCCGCGCGTATCGATGTCATCTTCGTTATGACGTCAGAATATGTTAATTAGGTGAAACTAATAACCAATCGAGAGGAGTGTGCGTTACCCAAGGTCATCGATCGACTCGGCGTTTCGCTTTTAAATCAATTTTGTTGAACTTGTTACGTCGGTTTTGTTGCTTTATGTATATTTCCTGATCGCGTTAACTTGCATAGCTCCAATTCTCGACTGTGTCAAGTGTAGTACCCCACCATAACTCCATACAGTTTCACTACCGTGACCTTGCTCAGATATTAGTCTTCTTTAGCTCTGAGTGATAGCGCGTGACTTTGCTTCGAGAACCCAACAACCCAGAAAATAAAAATAGAAAAGTCTGACTGTTTGGTATAGCCCAACGTTGGGGGTATCAATACTCACTCTCTATACTTATGATCGAGGCTTCAAGGCCTTGCTCCGAGATTATTTGAATGAAAAAACTCAATTTTTGAAAACCCGTGAGAAAATCCTTCCGATATCTAATTCGATGTTTCCACGGTTAGTTCAGCTCGGCCGAGCATGATTGTGTAATAACCATGAATCAAAATTGACAGATCTGGGAAGTATTGTTATTGTTACATCACAATACACGATTGTGAGAAAGAAGAATCCCAATTGTCACTTAATAAAGAGAAATTAGACAGTCAATGCGTTTAAAATAATTGATTAAAATTAATGTTTCTTGGGCCGTGAGAATTCGGAAAAATTGTCGTACTCATGAATTCGAAATTGAAAAAACAAGCTGTGGTTTTGTTTTATTACTATGATTTTAATTTTGAAATGTATTTTCAAAAAAAGTAAATACTCAAAATAAAACCATACAAATTTTTGTTTCGCTTTAAATTTTGAGTGAAATTCTACCTAGTTGATTTTCAGTATTGCTAAAAAATAAAATAACGTTCACGAGGCAATCAATTTTCTATGTCAATTTCGTACCTTTTATGTGAATATTCTCCATTCCGAAGTTTCTGGGTGATAATGCTTAAAGGCTTGACCATTTGTGTTTGCAAACTAGAAGCTGGAAAATATGCCTTAATAATGAAAATATCGGTAGAAGCGGTTCTTGAAATAAAACCTAATTTTTTTTTTCAATCTTCAGTTATGTACCTCATAAAATATTTTCTGATGTCGCATGTTCATTGGAGGTAAGTTTCTCCAACAGCTACTTATAGGCTATACATAAAATATTCTTGGTTAAGATCTAACAGGATACAGCATTCTTATTTCGATTATGATAAGACAAAGAATTCTAAGCCGATTCTCACGGTTATTGTGACATAAAAAGTATCGATTATTACCTAATAATATTGATTGAATCAAGGTAGAGAACATCAAAAGTGATTATGACATCATAGCATTGTTTAAAATCATTTAACTGTGATGTAATATAGCTTCATTAAAGAACTATTAATTATCTAAGATTGTGACGCACTGATATCAAAAACGGAAAATGTCGTTTCCTATATTATTTGATAACAATTGTAAGACAATGATTTGTAAATACCGGTGTCGTTGGGTAATAATCTAATGTTCTAACCAAACGAAACTGTCGTCTGCGCTTTATTTGTTCAAGATGATACTATGTTGAGCGGTTTCTCCCGACCTTTTTCGTGTTAAACATTTCACGACTGGTAACGAGCAAGCGATAAAGTTTAGCCAACACTTGCAATATTTATAAAATAAGAAATGAAGAAAACAATATTGGTTCCTGATATTCCGGTGCATTATGATCATTTATGTGCTCAAAACAAACTCATGTATCGCATTCATGTAACATTTTGCCTGACCAAGGTCCACACTTCAACAAATATTTCAACTTTGCTTTGGTCAACAGGATTGGAAAACTGGTTTGTTTCCCCGAGCCTTGTGTGGGGAGAAAGCGTGGAGACCGCGTAAAGTCCCCTCCTTGCAGCATGCATGTAATCCTTTACGCTTTGGGATTTCGTGAAGGAATCAGGCGGTAAAATCGATCACGTGACCTACTCTCCAGTGACCTTGAAATCACCTTGACGAATAAGCGTTGAAATTTGCTTCCTTCCTACACTGTGACGTAACATTAATGGTGTTTTATGATTCCGTAATATCGGATATCCACATTTGTCGTCAAATGACCCAAATTTTGGAGCGAAATATGTAAACACGTAAAAACGACATATGTTGTGTTGTTTATCCCACTGTGCCGTAACAGGGGTTTGCAAATTGAAGACAATCGTGTGTTCTCGTGATATCTTATACGTTTTTT